GAGTGAAACACAAATGGGGGGAAATGAATTGTGTTTGAGTGAGGTGAAATGTGAATTAGGGGAAAGAAATTGTTAATACCATTAAGGGGCAATTTTGTAATAGCACATGCCAAAATGACTAAAAAGGATGTTTTTTACAAAACATGGTCAAAATTTATGTTTTGTAAATCTTTATGGTCATTTAATGGTATTAACACTAATATATTTCACTTAGTCCAACATTTAATTTTTAAAAGTTACTTAACATAATCATTTAATCCAACATTTAATTGTAAAAAATAACTTTAATATATTTATTTAACATTTAACTTTAAAAAACAACTTTAATATTATTTTACTGTAACTTTAATATCATTGCGGATATGTGCATATAATTTATAGAAGATCTCGGGATTATCTGATCTGATATAGATTAATCCTAAGAAATCACCTCCAAAAATACATTAAAGCACGTAGCTACCATTATAAATAAGCGTTTTGTCCCATCAATTATTCAGCACGGCCAAAATCTGCACGACGCCGCCGCCGAGCCACCCTACCTGCCGGCCTTCGCGTGTGGTGTGTGTTGTTGTGTTTCAGTGTTTGAGTAAGCGTTTCTCTACTTTCTTCTATCGCCCAATTTCTATACTGTTTTCCCCACTTTTGCAGTGCCCTATTATTTCATTTGTTGCTTTGGCTTTCATTAGAATACGCGTTTATTAACCTGGGATTATTATTTTGTAACGTAGATTTCCATCGCCGCGAGCGTTGTACAAACCCTCGAGAGCTTGCCAGTCACCATCATAGCTACTGCCACCGTGCCGAGTGTGATAACGCAACTGTTGAGACGAACAAGACGAGGCTCGTTCACGGAGAGGTGATTTATTAGGATTTAATCTCATGCCTCTTTCCCAATATTGGATTATTTATTTATTTATATGCATTTTTTTTTTTGTCTATTTATAGGCCCCCTTGATTCCCTGTAGCTTCACCAGCTTGCTATTACGTTGAATGTCGGTTTCGAGACTCGTCGGCGATTTTGCTCGTGTGTTGAATACTCCCCCGCCGGTCTCTTTCCGAAGCTTTTCCTTCTATCGACCTTTTTACTCGCCTCACACTCGCGTTTCGAGCATTCTTTTGACCATGCCTCGCAACCCGGTGAGTCCCATGCCCTGTGAAAATTCGCTGATATGCTTCTGTGAACGTTACTCTTTTGTTTTTTGGGTTTCCAGTAATTTCTATGCTTACGATATGCAAGATATTATGCTAATGTTTGACAATAATTGAATTTTTCATCCAGTGGACCGAAATGTTACTTGTAAGGCTGTTGTCTGATGATTATGTGTGATCCTGTATTGTGTATTATCTAGGTGTTCAGTTATTATTGGTCATACTTTTATTTTTTTCTATTTTCAAGCATTTATCACCAATCCGCTGATGTTGGTAGTCCTCAACGCAGCGATTTGTAATTTGGCCACAAAGTGTTTACTTCTATGCTTGGTATTTCGTTTACTGGGGCATAAGAATGTGAATATTTTTTTGGCGTAGTCTTTTTCCCCTTCATTACGTTTATGAGGTGTTTTTCCTGTTTCAAATGCAATTATTGCTAAAATTTTGTTCACATTAAAAACATTTTTGGTGGAAATTTTGATTAAATTTTATGAAATTCAGCGTAGGGGAGGTTCTAAAGAGCAACGATGGGTGGAGAAGCCTAAACCCAATAACCGGTCTACCCCATCATCGGCGACGGGAGGTTTCTCAAATGCAGACAGTGAAGCTGTTGCTGACCGGCGTAACACTTTGAGTGTTGCAGAAAACAGCAAAGAGCATCATGTTGTGTCAGTACCACCATCCATACAGTTTGGGAGCATTGGTATGTCAAGTCATGCACCTGTTCACGGACAGAAAGCCCCATGGAAACCTAGGTCATATGGAACAGTAGCTGAGAAAACTCCGGCTGATCAGGCGAAAGTCCTCGACCATGGATCTGGAACGAGGCCCGTCCAGAAAAGTAAAGTTGATATGAATGAATTGTTTAGTGGTAAACTATTGGAGAATTTCACGGTGGACAACTCGACATACTCGCGAGCCCAAGTTAGAGCAACTTTTTATCCGAAGTTCGAGAATGAGAAGTCTGATCAAGAGGTAAGGCTGTCCCACTCCCATGCACGAATTTGTTGTTCCATTTATTAAGTAAATTTTATGGTTTAATGCCTTGTCATAGTTGATTAGATATCTGTGAAAATTTTTATTGTGTCATTCTGTAATTTCTTCAGCAACGGAAAACCGAGTTTATGTTAGGAAACAAGATTGTTTTGAGTGCTGAAATTAACCTGCTCAACATCTTTTTAAATGCCTATCCCGCAGGTTAGAACAAGGATGATAGAGATGGTATCCAAAGGCTTGGCTACATTGGAGGTAAGCCAATGGCATATTTTTTCCACTTTTTTCTTATGCCTCTTTGGAGCAGAACAATTTATGGTTTATAATTATTTATTATTGGCTTGTATTTTTGTTCCCTGTTTTAGCTTAATGATATTGCCTTATCGTTTTGCGCGATTGTTTTTTTCTTAGTTTCGCCCCTAACATTTGGCAATTAATAGGTTTCACTCAAGCACTCTGGATCACTTTTCATGTACGCTGGACATGAAGGAGGAGCATATGCAAAGAACAGCTATGGAAATATGTAAGTCCATCTTTAATTGGCCTCTGCATCCTCCATTTTCATTGGTTTTTCTTTTTCTGTTTTTTTCTTTTCTTTTTTTAAAAGGTTTTTGGTGCTTTTTCCAATATTTTTTGTTCACTTTCCTTTTCATTATTTTATGGTAATTATTTAATGTAATTGCTTTGATATCAAGACTAAACAATGCTTATTGTCAAACCTGTTAATACACACGTTATTACAGCGACAACGACCATTTTTGCCTTGGCAGTTGTAGAAATTTATCATGAAGGTCCAGTGAACTTAAACAACAAACTTTTAGTCTCACAGGCATGATAATGAAAAATATCCAAGAAATCTCATTTCCTGGATTATCATATTGGTCTTTAACTTTTGTTTTAAAGATTTATCATTAGATTCAGTGATGCAGCTGACTGCAAGTACTGACTAGACTACAGCTGCTTAGATATTGTTTCTGGTGATTGTAGGCGCATCTGTGTCTGCATTTTGTTTCCAAACTATTATTTAAGATTCTTTCATTCGCACAGAGTCACACACTCAAATAATTGGCTGTGACTCAGAACAAGATGCTTGTGATCGAATAATTACAATTTACAAAACTCAAATATTATGTTAGGACATTTGTTGTTGTTTGGGTAAGTCCTCATACTTATGTTCCATAACCTTCTTCATAATGGTGGTCGGCCTTGTAGTATAAATTGAAGTAGGAATAAATGCCAAGTAGATGAGAAAGAAGATGACACCCAAGATAAGAATGTTGTAAGGTTGACGGGAGTTTCTAAAATTTTTAACATTACAAATAAGAGTAGTCAAACTCTAGTGAAAATGAGTAGTTAAGCTAAAAGAAAAATTTAAGATGTAAGTTGACACTAAATTAACTATGTCCCGTCTCTAACTATTCAGAAATACAGACTATGTATCTAAACCACTATTTATTACACAATCATTATGCCTTAAAATAAGAAGAAATAGCTGCTGATATTAGGTCTTTCATTCCATTCTCTGTTATACACTTTAAACACTACAGCTTATAATTCCCTTTCTATATTACAGTTACTCTGCTGTTGGGGTGTTTGTACTTGGACGGATGTTCCGTGAAGCATGGGGTTCACAAGCCCTCAGGAAGCAAGCTGAATTCAATGACTTCCTTGAGGTAAATCCAAAGAGAATGATTTTTTGTTATAACTTAAGTTGTGTCGATGAAGTTTCTCAGAATGCTTTGTTTGCCAACATTTGAGACACATTTGGTGATCGGTAGTGATTCAGCGATTTTAAAGAAAATAGACTTCTTATCTTATACAACTGTTAGATCGTTTATCCCTTGTCCTAGGAATGTTTAAAGTTGCCCACCCTTTTTGCCTTAACGGATGCATCGTTATATGAATTTCACTATTCTAGATACACTTAATACAGTAACATATGAGATCCTAGGTACACTTATAAAAGTACCGTATGGGCATGCAAAAATGTTCCGATCTACACATGCATGGAGCTGAACAATCATATAAGTTATATCAAAGCTTTCTCCTTGTGGTCTCAAAGTAAAAATTACTTTTTGGCTGTAGCGTAATCGCATGTGCATATCCATGGAGCTGGTTACAGCAGTACTGGGAGATCATGGACAACGTCCTCGTGAAGATTATGGTAAGAGGATAGCAATAATATTTATTTACTCTTTAATTCAAATTCATGAAGATATGCCGATCGTGAATAATTTCTGAAACTGGTTGAAGATTGAAGATTCTGCTGAAATGCTTAAAACTCATCTTTCTAATTATCAGTGTTCTAAAAATCGGGCTAGGCGCCCGCCGCATCCATGCGTCCCGATCCTCATCTAGGCGGCTCATCTAGGTGCTCGGGTAATTAGGCACCGATCTAGGTGTCTGTGAAGTTGATCATGTCTAGGTGGGTTAGTTGGAGTCCTAGGTGGTCTAGGCGTTGCCTAGGTGCCTTTGTATATTACTTTCACACTTTCTAATTTATTTTCAAAGTAAAAAAAATAAATTTTGATTTATGTTAATAAATCAGTGTTGTTAAATAGCGCCCATGGTTGTATGGCGTGGCGGGTTTTAACTGGCTGTCATTTTATGACTGCCTTGTGACATGTTTGCAACAGTGGCGCCGTTGTGGCCGCCATAAGCATGGTGGTGGGGCGCTGATAGCGGAAATTGCCATTTCCATGATCTCAAATAATAGGAAAAGTAATTGCCTGGCCGGATTTTGCCAAAATCAGCCAAGATTTCTAATAGATTTGTACCTAGGCCAAC